TTTCTTCACCATCTAAATGAATACGTTTTCCAGGAAAATCACTCTAGCATGCAATCTTGGCATATCAAAAAATGAGTAAACTCTTCCGGTTGATCGTCGGTAATCCAAGGTACTTCAAGTGGTAATAAAAACAAGCTGTAAATTCAGATATCTTGAATTCGAATATTGACAGACGCTTGAGCTCAGGCTATAAGAATTTTATTCTTTATGAATACCTTCATTTTAGTATGAATGGTCACCTTTTAACTGAATTGAAGAGGTGATTAGTCGAAGTTGACCCGAATACCTCTGATTGTTAAACAAAAAAAAAAAAAAAAAGAAGATGGCAATCAGTCATGAATGCTTTAAGTAATTGTACCTTCACTTTTAAAAAATATATTTTGATCTTAAAAAGTGGTAATTTTTGGTATGATCTCCTTTTCTTTCAACTAAATTCACCACAAATAGAACTCTGAAAAATTATAAATTTGCTCAACATAACTCTAAGAGAATATTAAATAAAAAATATTTAATTTTATAATAATTTATACAATTATAAATAAAGAAATAAATCAAATATTTTCTTACAATGCTAATAAAACATAATATTGTTCTCATGTGATTTTGTTTTGTTTGGAAGCAAAGGAGGAGTAGGAATGCGTTTACCAAATACTCCTTTGAATGGTTAATTAAAATTCTTGGGTCTGGGCCTTTGAATGCGTTGAGAGTTTAATCGCAGAGATTATGTTTGCCCAAGCAGCTGCGGACGATGGCAAGGACTTCAATTCAATAACGCGGATATGGCTGCTACCTCTTGTCTAACCCTTTTCCCTCTTGTACACGTTCATCCACAACACTTACCTACTGCTGTCCCTTGTGTGATGTGAAAGAGTAGGACTGAAATATATTTTTTGACATCGTATCTCTATTTTTTGTCAATGAAAACGGGTCATATGTGTGCAGACATGTCAATAAATCGAATTTTGATTCGAACTCGAATCCAATTAGCCGGATATAGATTAAAACTGCACCAAATCACCTAACCCCAACCAGAAGCTATAAGAAGGGACTAATCCTTTCTCCAAAGTTATTTTTTTTCTTTGTGTGTGTGAGACGCATCAGTTCATCCGAAGAATGAGCATGGCCGGAGCCACATGGGGATCAGGGTGGGCACTTGCCCCCCTTATTTTTGGACCATCTTGGATGAGGACCCATAAAATTATTTTATACATCATATTTGCCCCTCCCCCTAAATTTTTGAAAAATTTTAATAACGGCTCTAGTCTTTTCTTTTTTCAATAAATTAGTGGTCCAATAATCTTTTTAAATAAATTTGTTAGTTTTGGATTGAATCAATCAGATGTAACTATCTTGATCTATTTGTATATTGAGGGAAATACAATAATTATCTTTATCTCGTAAAATGTTCATTATTTTTTAAGAACAATTTTTAGTTTTTATTTACCCATTTTTTAGTAATAGTAGTTTATAACTTGATAAAATACGATTGTATATAAAAGACAAAATGTTGTAACCAAAAATATTTCAAGTTATTTCAAATAAGGAATTTATTTATAAGATCAACAACAATCAACTAAATTTTGTAACTACATAAAAAATAATTTTACTACGGATTTGTGATTGTGTGCATTGATAGAAAGTTAGTGAAAAATTAATTTATNAAATTAATTTACATTTAATTCATATATAAAATTTTAGAGATTCTAAAAATATTTATATTTTATTAAAATATATAATTTGGTTAAAATATACTAAAAAAATTATTTTTTCTTTTTATTAGGATTTTGTTTCGGCTAAATAAAATTAAATTTACTATTTCACAATAATTTTATCATGATTCTTACTTTTTTTGTCATTCTTGAACTGAATTTTTTGTATCAATTTCAACTAAATATTTTGTTGTATCAGTTATATTTTACCCCCTCATAGATATTCTTGATTCTGCATCTAAGAATAAGCAACCCATAATNTTACCCCCTCATAGATATTCTTGATTCTGCATCTAAGAATAAGCAACTCATAACTTGGCCATATGACTGACCCTAATTGCCCTCTGTTGAGCCATAATCGAATTTTCAATTTGATTTTTTTATTAAATATAGACTCTTATGGAATTATAAAATTATAAGTTGAGGTTTTAATGTCAAACTTTGGACAAAAAATTAATAACACTATTCGACTGAACTAAAATTCTAAAAGTTTAATATTTTTTTCTTCAAGAGATATGAAAGATTTAGGACAACCTGGGCCTATTTGAAGTTGATTTTTTTGGATGTGAAATAGAAGTTTGAAAAGCTTCGTGGAAAAATCTTAAGTTAAAAAAGTTCTTGAAACCATTCGAAATGTTCTTGGGAAAATTAATTTTTTTGTTGGATAAGCCTGATTTATCAGCTTTCTTTGGTGCAGATAGAAGCTGTTTTGACTGAATATACGCCCAATAAACTTGGGTCTAAACGATCCAATCTTCTTTTTCTCTAAATTCAACAAAAATTGAAGTTTTCAGCCCCCAAACTTTAAATAACCTAAATGGTATTGGCTTAAATAATTCAATATCGAGTGAAAAACTTTGTATTTTTCCAGGATGATTTACCTACCCAAAAAAAGGCCCACGGCCTTAACTATGTTTCTCCTTGTAATGGGTTGGACTGAGACGTGGCCCAATGGATTGTCGAGCTTTCAATCTTTCCCGTGAGTCATTAACATTTTGTTTGAGTCTTAATGTCAACTGACTATTAGAACTTGATTCAAAATCTGTAATTGTCATGAATGATAGTTTGTTGGGTATTCAATGTGANCCAGGCTGATTTACCTACCCAAAAAAAGGCCCACGGCCTTAACTATGTTTCTCCTTATAGTGGGTTGGACTGAGACGTGGCCCAACGGATTGTCGAGCTTTCAATCCTTCCTGTGAGTCATTAACATTTTGTTTGAGTCTTAATGTCAACTGACTATTAGAATTTGATTCAAAATCTGTAATTGTCATGAATGATAGTTTGTTGGGTATTCAATGTGAGAATCATAAATGAAATAAGAAAATATATTAGAAGAGTCTTAATAAACTATGAATAGTTATATTAATGGCAACATAGAGATCTAACCAATGTTATCAAAACTAGATTGATCATCGAACCTGTAGGGGGATTGGGTCAATGCTTCACTGAATCAACTGATCGGACCAATCGTATAATTAAAAATAAAGAAATATTATAAAAATTATAAAATATAATAATTTAACTAATAATTATAAAGCATAAGAGTTATAAATCATAATTGTGAGTCGGGGACTCTAAGTGAGTGTGTGTATATGTGAGAAAGAGAGAGAGAAGAATGACTTGGTTAAATTCAATGAACAATCCATTTTGATCCAAAGAGGCAAAGACAACTAAGAAAGACAAAGAGCCAAAACACCACTAGACTGAAGGAAGACGAACACCATTGGACCGAGCTAGTTGTTCATCCTCGGAAAAGAGGAGGACCGAAGGAAGATGAAGACCATTGGAATCCCAACCGTTTGGTTCACTAAGTTGCAAATCTGCAATTTATTTAGGACAAAAATGGCCCAAAAAAAGGTTTTTTAAAATTTTTTTTTATATAAGATTTGCATTTTCAGCTGTCTAGTTTGAACAAACCATCTGGTTCATAGTAGTTTGGTCAAAAACTGGTTGATTCAACAGTTGTCAGACATTTTGCTTCCTTATGCAGTCTAACTACAGAATCAGACCATTTTAGGTCCCAGTTCACAGTTCAACCGGTCCGACCGACTGGTTAGGTGAAGTTTTGATTGATGATGTACAAATTGAGTTTGCACACCACCTGTCAAGTATGAGTAATAAATGCAATAATTAAAGTAGAGAGAAAACAAGAATTATAGTAGTTCGATCAAAGTGACTTATATCCACTTTTGAATGGCAAGAGTCGCCGGGTATTTTATTAACTCAAATGTGCAAGGAGAGCAAAGAGCTACAAGTTGCGAGAGAAAGGAAAGAGTTGTGCTCAACAAAGTGTGATGCCCCCCAAGTGTTAACGAGGCTTACAATTTATAATCGTCCCCTAACAGATTTGGGCGACTTAATAACAACTACAAAACTATTCTAGTAGAGTTGGCGACTTCTTCTCAACGGGCGAGTCGGTTGAGGTGCTCTCCATGAGACTCCGTCAAAGGATGACTAGGGTATTGACTATTTTCAAGGTGGTATGGATGAGCTTTTAGATGAACCTTCGTGATCCTCTACTGCTATAACAACTAGAACCTAATGAGCTTGACCGGGTGCAGATTCCATTGGACTTGGCTAGCTGGACCTCTTGGAGTTGGGCACTTAGTCTTGTAACATGAGTTGCGACCTTGGGCTTGGCCCATCATTTGCCCCAATGCCCTGTGTCCAATGGAACTTGGAGAGGAGAGCATTCGGTTGAGTTTGATTATTCAGCTGACTGGCACAACTTGAAAAACTTTGGGAGGCCCAAACATTTGTTTCTAGGCCTTTTTTGAACTTTTAACAATATCACTCATAACCAAAGGCTGTGTGTTTTGTAGATCTCATCGAAAGTTTCAATTTGATATATAATAAGCCTCATTTAGAGTCACAGAGCAAAATTTATGGTCGAAATAGCGAGCAGGGAGCTGGGCACGCAATTTGGGCGAGCTGCTACTGTTCTGGGCGAGCAGAAGCTGAAATTTTTATTTTTTTTTATAAAAAAAATCTTCAAGAGGCCAAAACATTTGTTTCTCGGCCTTTTTTGGACTTTTTACAGCGTCCTTCACTGCCTTGGGTAGTGTGTTTTGTAGGGTTCGTCGAGATCTTCGATTTAATATATAATGAGCCCCGTTTGGAGTTACTGTCAAAATAGCGAGCATCCTTTTTTAAATCCGAATTTTTTGAAAACTCCTCTTGATCGGTGACCCTCTCCCTTCTAGTAAACTTGTTTTGCTTGTGGGACACCATTGGTTATATAAACTCTTTCATTTACTTCCATTATTATTTCCTTTTGGATTCTAGGGCATGACCGAAGGAGAAGGCAGAGCTTGTGCTCTGCAGGAAGCTAGTAAGACAAGGGTCACTGTAGGGCATGGTAGTGTTGGCGAGGCTCAGGAGGCCGAGCAGCTGGGCAAACAGTTAGGCAAGATGAGGGAGGAGACCAGGGAAGCGGGTGCGCTGGGGCAAGCACCGTTGGGTCACGCAAAGAAAACAAGCTCTGGGCGTGGCTAGGGCTAGCATTGTAGAGGTCAGGCGAGCAGCCTGGGCATTGGGCACCCATGCTTAGGTGTTTGGAGGTGAGCCTGGTGTTGGTGGGCAAGCTGGCTGTGTACGCAAGAGAGTGGTTGCGTTGTCTGGGCACACAGGAGGAGCTGTTGCGCTGACTGGGCATGCAGGAAAGGCTGCTGCGCTAGGTGAGCATGCCGAGGCGTTGGGCATGGCACAATTAGCCATGGGGGTTACTTGGCGTAGTCAGACCTTATTTGCACCAGGTGTTAAGCATTGGAGAGTTGCGGCAACGAGGCGGCAGTGACGGATAGACACAAAAAGATTGAGGCCCAATTGTTGACATTTAATCTAATGTAGTCCTAGACAGCTTGAGTTTCAAAAGTGTGCCTAAAAATAACAAAAATAATGTTATTCTAAACATTAAAATATCTAGCATAATTACTTGCAGAGAGAGGTAGGTTGCTTGCGCGAGAGCAAAGACAGAATTTGAGGATTGCTCGTGAGAGAGCTACACTTTTTGAGCCCGAAATTAACTGGGCTAGACCCAATTAATCAAGAAAGGCCGACGATACCTCAGAGCCCAAGACAACAAGTCAAGGAGGAGCCCAAGTCAAGGAGGAGTCCAAGGGGAACACCCTCAAGGGGCTACCCCAAAGGGGCGCCACCCAAGGGGGGCCACCCCAAGGGGATCCTTCCCTCCTTTGTCCCTTGCTCCTTCTCCTGCCCAGCTTCTTGGAGTCTTTTGCCCTCTTGACTCTGTCATTCTAATTCAAGTATAGCACCCAACAACTCAAG